AGCAGGGAGGGAAATATGGGGGAAGAAGTTTCTTTAGGGAAAAAACAGTGCCAGGAATCTCACTGCCCAACTTCTGCAGTGCAGCCCATTACAGGCAAAACTGCCTTATATACAGAGGATGTTAATGCATCGCATTCAAAGTGTGTGCAATCTGTGTACACCCTAGCTGAGCTTTACACTGAGCTGCAACATTCAACTAGGGCAGGCTGTACAGATCAATAAGTACATGTGTCTTCATGTGAAGATGCCTAAGCGGACAACAATCAGTGTTTCCCAAACTTGGGCCTCCAGCTGCTTTTAGACCACAGTTCCCATCAACCCTGACCACTGGTCTTGCTAGCTAGGGATGATGGGAGTTGTAGTCCAAAAAACAGCTGGAGACCCAAGTTTGGGAAACACTGCTCTAGATAGACCCCCAGGGGAAGCCACGTCGCCCAGTTCTGCTGCCACCCCATCCAGGGAAGCAGCAGCGGCACCTGCGTTGGGAGGGCTGCTCTGCCCTACCACAGGGGCTGCTATTGCACGTAGCTCAGTGCTGCCCACTCTGGCTTGCAGCAGCTTCCCAAGCCCTACCGCAGGTGGTCTTTCCTTCTGCTAGAAATCCTTCTAAACAAAGGGTCGACTCTGGGATCTGAGGTACCAATGTGCTTTGCTTTCACGTGTGAAGCATCAGGAAACCCCTTTTACGCTTTGTGGCCGTGATGAAGAAGCTGCAGCCCCCCAGGTCGTAGGAAGGCAACCACTCTCCTTGGCCCTGGCCCCTGGCCATGCCGGCTGGGGGATGATGGGATCTGGAGTCCACCAAAGCCTGGCTCCCCAGCCCTGCTGTAGGGCAACTTGCTCAGTGCACACCCAGCCCCCTCCCATTGCTTCCTTTGCCTGCTCAGGAGAGCTGGCATGACCTGGCAATTAAGAAACAACGGCTCTGAACCAGGAAATGAACCTGCTTCAAATGCGCTCTCTGCCATGGACATAGAAGCCTAGAATTGTAGAGTCAGGACCCCAAAGGTTATCCAGTCCCACCCCCTGCAATGCAGGAATCTTAGTGGGGATCCTTTTAGGCAGGCCCCTTGCTCTCAGCCTCTCGTCAGGGATATTACTTACCTTACAGAGGATGTGCAAAAAGAGAATGTATGCGGGGAGTTCACAATGCTCTTTACTATGCAAATGAAAAGCCATGATCCTTTTGTGTACATCACCCCCCCCACACACACACACCCTCGCTCCCTTGAGGGGTGGGGGACCTGTGGCACTCCAGGATCTGCTGAACTACAACTCCCATCATCTCTGACCACTGGTCACGCTGGCTGGAGTTGCAGTCCATTAATTTCGAGTGAATCATGGGTTCCCTACCTTGGCTCTAGCCAGCGTGTCTCTGAGAGGGGGAGCAGCAGTGGCAGAGAGGTTGGATGGCCATGTGTCATGGATGCTTCAGCCGAGTTTCCTGCGTTGCAGAGGGTTGGGCTAGATGACCCATGGGGTCCCATCCAACTCTACAATTCTATGATTCATGTCCCTTCTTGTGAGCTCCCCAGATACATCTGGGTTGGGAAATGGGAAGCTAGGCTAGATTAGGGCTCTCTTCTTCCCCCATCAAGGCTACTTACCAATTATAAGACTGGACACAGGCATAAACTTTGAAGCCACCTGCAACCTGTTGGAAGAACAGAATCAGGTCTACCTTTGAGCGAGTCAACAATGCCACCCAAAGAGTGAGAACAAACCTGGTTCATTTGATAAAATCTGAGTTGCCTCCGCAACTCTAAACCTTTCCTGCTCTTACCACAGCACCAAGACTTTCTGAATGTCAATTAGCATTATGTAATGATTAAAAATAGTGAGGTGTGATCCAGGAGGCTCTTAATTAAAATCAAATCTTATCTCAAATGAATGCCAGTTAGTGTTGCACAGTGGTTAAAGACAGGCTGTTCTGACTCAGGAGGCTCTCTGTCCAAATCTTAAATTAATTATAATAAGACAAAGCGCAATCTTCTGGATGCATGTGTGCAGTCTGTTCTATAGGGCTGTTTCGAAGATTACTGATAATCTGTGCAAACACAGGCCTACAAAACATGCTCTGTGAAGGAAGAGTCAGGGAATCTTCAGGACAGGGGTGGTCAACCTACAGGCCTGGACCTAACTTCAAAAGCCCTCCGCTCTTCCCAGAAACCTGAACTGACAGCTAGCAATCTATCCCTCCTTCTGCAGCATGCTGGGTGGGAAGAGAGGAGGTGGTGGCAGAAAAGGAAATAAAAGAAGGGTAGCTCCAACCACTTTTGGCTCTGCCCCACTGCAGGCATGCAGCCCCTGACGAGAGCCTCAAGAGACTTAGTGCAGCAGGGAAAAGCCCTCACCCTTCTCAGAACTGGAGAGCCGGGCAAGAGAGTCCATTTTCCCAGGAACCCTTTATCTAGAGCACAACTTGAAATCAAGCAAACTGCTTGCCCCTTCCTCTGTACGATGGGCTGGACCAAAGCAAGCAAATGTTGGGCAGGCTACTGATGCAAGATATTTTGTGCCCTTAAGAAAAACAGCAAATATTTGTCTTGGCTGAGACAGATGCCGTGCTTCACCTCAAATCCAAGGCACCCTTGCCTCATTTTCAAAAGCCTTTGGATATAAGATCAGTTAACTGATCTTATAACTACTGCTTTTTTATTTTTACTGTTGCTACAATAATTGTTTTTGTTTCTGGTGTTTTTGATCTGTTTTATGGTTCTATTTTGTAGGCTATCTTGAAAATCTAGATTAATAAAACTGTGGTTTCAAAAAAAAGCCTTTGGATGTCTTCTCTACTGATTATAATGGGTGGGTGGGTGTGGAGACCAAGAAACTCAGGTATATAAGCTAATTGCCAAGTGCCGCCTTAAACCTGGGTTATGGTCGCCACAACGGAATTTCAGCAGGGTGAGTGAAGATTATAGGAAGATCATAGGAAGTTATGACTAAAAGATTGCCATTCATCGCATTGTTCTGTTTTGCTATTTATTAAATTTAACTGAATGTTTTATTGATGACTTCTCTGTTTTTACTAATGTATGTCATTGCATTTTTTTGTTTTAAACGTTGTATGTACGTTTTTCTTTTTAAGGTTATTTTACTGCATGTTCTGTAAACAGCTTAGGGGTTTTGCGTATTAAGCAATATATAAATATTATTGCTGCTGGTGACCAAATATGTAGGAAAAGCAGGATACAATGAATAAAACTAAGTAACTCAGCAGACGGGAAGTTGAGAGAAGTCCAGAGGAGGGGAGGGAGAATAATTGTATATAACATGATGAATGAGATTTGTATCATTATTTGCTATAAAATTCTATATATATATAGAGAGAGAGAGATTATTTTACTGCATGTTCTGTAAACAGCTTAGGGGTTTTGCATATTAAGCAATATATAAATATTATTGCCTGGTGACCAAAATGCTTTTTCTCTTTAAAAATGTTTTCTGCTTCTGACGGTGTCCTTTCTCTGCCCCTCCCAAAAGCACAGTGATTCAAAGTAAAAAATGGAGCCTTGGTGAAGGCATTTCTTGATTGAATGCCAGTGTTGTCGCTCACAGAATTAGCCCCACTTCCTCTCCGGGTGGTGCTTTTTTTCATTAATGGACAGCTCGAGGGCAGCTGCAAACCTTGGGGTGGTTCTGAAGCCTCAGAGGCAGTCCGCTTCACCTTGACTTCCCCAAATATCTCCACAGTGGGGATCCTTTCATGCACAAGTCACAAGACCAAAGCAAATGAGTATCTTGAAATTTCAACATTATCACTGGCCTATACTGAACATATTTCACGGTTGTTTATCGGAAGCTGTCAGAACCACACAGCCTCCTATATGAGACCTGTACCAGTAACATGTCAGTAGCACGACTTCTCTAATCCTGAACAAAACATCCTCCACACGCCCCCTGCCCTGCTTGCCAGTCACTCACCATCCTCCAGGAGCAGCGCACAGATCCAGCAGCGCCCGAGACTTTGGAAGGAACTGGAATTTGCGGTTCAACTGAATGAGCTTGAAAGACGAACGGGAACGGAATCCTGGAAAAGGGATGCATGAGCACCATGCCAAGCACAGTTAGACCTCATTCATTCAATGCATTTATATCCCCCCTTTTCCTCCATGGAACTCGAGGTAGCGTACATGGTTCTTCCCCTCCCCAATTAACCCCCAGAACAACCCTGTAAGGCAAAGTCCTTTTCTTGAGCACTGTCTTATTTGGCCAAGATGAGGGTGGGCCACTAGGAAGTAGTATTTAATGGACAGATGCAAGGAGAATGGCTGCTCATTGTTCCAGGGGCTGATCAAGAACAATTTATCACCTATCTATTTCACTATCAATCCACATACCCTATAGTGCAAGAGTGAAGTGTGCCTCAAATTTTAAGCCAGAAAAGAATGTGGCCCGGATATCATTTAGCTAACCCAACCTAGATAACATAGGAAGCCGCTTTAACCGGCCTTCGCACATCATTAGCCCAACCTCAACCAGCTGGCTGGGACCTGCTGCTAGGTTGTAACTTAACAAGGTAGGCCACACCAGCTGCTCTATCACAGTATAAATATAATAGTTAAGATTGAAAGAGTGGGTCCCCAGATGCGTGTTTGTGCAAAAGGAAAGTCTTGGGACTCAAAAGGCTGATTCCATTAACACTGACTGACAAAAAGCAGCTATCTGGGGTGTGACGAAAAGGTTGGTTTTGCTGGATTGGTTGGAACAAAAACAAAAGAAAGTGGGGTGTTTTGTTTCTTTCCCTGCCAGCAAATGGTTAATGAACGGCAGCCTCTGATTGGCTGTGGTTCCAGGAAGGATTTTTTAAAAGGAGAGGATTTGAGAGACAGTGGGAGGTAGAGTGAGTGGGTTGGATTAGAGGTTGGAGAGGTTGGGAGACAGGTTGAGGTAGAAAGAGTGAATTCGAAAAAGAGTTGGTTCTGGAAAAAGACAACTTCCCCTCTGAGTGTATTGTATAGACCAGAATTTTACTGGGAGGCAGAGGTTGAGCCAGGAGAAGTAGGAGCTGGAAAGGAACAGCCTACCTGGAACTCAAATCTAGTCTGGAGGGGAGAGATTCTTCTTAGGAAAAGAAGAAACTCCCAAACCCAGTGAAGGGAAGGTGTGTGGAGAGCCCTTGGGTCTATTGCTCAAGGTACCTCAGGAGCAGGATTGTTAAAGGGGGTGGATAACTGAAAGAAAAGTATCACCAGAACCAAACCTATAACGCAAAACTGAGGACGAATTAAAGTGTAATCGTACTGCACGCCTGAAGTAACCCAAATTTAATCCATTTGTGTTATATACTATCTTGCCTTAAATAGATCTTTATTGTTAACTTAAAGAAAACCCATCTGAGACTCCTCCTTACTAAATATCCCCTTACAAAGGTCCCCCACAGCATACTTTGGGCTAAAATTTTAAGAGGAAAGGAAAAGAAACCTTCGAGTAAAGGGTTGTTCAGTGCGGTTGTGGCAATTTATCTAAGTGAGAGTGGGCCCAACGGCGTGAGAGAAAAAAGTGCCGTCGTGTCCATCATTCACACAAGCATCTTTCCCACCCCTCCCTGAAGATGCCAAGGATGGAACCCTGGGGAGTGCTTGTGTCAGTCAGTGTAGACCTTTGGATGGAAAGCCTATGTTCTGCCACTGAATTATGGTCCTTCCCTTGAAGAAGGACTGTATCTAAAGCAAGCCCAATGGATACTCACCCAAATCTTGAATTGTAAGAGCAGCATAGTGTAGTGGTTAAAGAGACTAAGCTATGAATCAGGAAGCAAGCCCCCAGTTCAAATCTTGCCTCTGTCATAAACTCATTAAGGTGGTCTTAGGTAAGCCACTTCCTCTGAATGAATTAATTTTATAATGAATGATTTTAGAGTGTTGTTTGTGCTGTACTTTTGTACTGTTTTATTGTTGTTAGCTGCCCTAAGCCCGGCTTCGGCTGGGGAGGGCGGGATATAAATAAAACTTATTATTATTATTATTATTATTATTATTATTATTATTACTCTTAATCCCTTCCATTTACATTATGGGGGATAACACTTATTTATCTCACAGGACTGTTGTAAAGATGGTAACTAAAACACTTTGAACATCTGAAAGCACTTATCAAATGTCAACTGTTGTTGCTATTATTATTATTATTAATAATAATATTTTGCCCCTGCAAGAAGATTACACAACCCCCCCCATATGCAAGTTATACCTAAGCATTATAAAGTTCCTCTTAAGAGTCATGTAAAGCAATGGTTCTTCAACAGGTGGGTCAGAATCTGATCTGACATGTGTTGCAACAGATACACTGCCACCTTGCTAATATATGGTAAAATATTAAGAAATGGGTCCCCAAAGTGGAACCTGGGTTTGGAAAGGTTGATGATGCCCAATATAAACTTTAACCTAATTCTACATCCCACAAGTTTAAGTCGGTTACTTGTTTACCCAAGCCTCAGCAGAAACCTTACAGCTAGGTCTCCCCTGCCTCCTCAGGGAATCATAGAATTGCAGAGTTGGAAGGGACCAAGAGGGTCAACCCCCTGCAATGCGAGAATCTTTCACCTAACGTGGGGCTTGAAGACACAAGTCTCATGTTCTATCGACTCAGCTATCCCGGAGTGGAACAGTTTCAACTTCAACCCGCCCCCCTCCCGGGCCCCCGTTAATTCACAAATCAAACCCAGCCCAAGATTTAAGCCATAGTAACTACCTCACAGGGCAAAGAGCGGGGAAAGAGTGTCTCTGAACCCACACAGAGTGACTTTTCCTCTCTGATGAGGAACTATCCCCGTGTATCTGGGAATGAGGGCAAGACATACACTGGGGTCGTTTATTAAGGGAGTAAACAAATAAATAAATCAGAACTCCACCCCGATTTTCTCACCAGTCTCCTTGGCCAAGTGATAGAACTTGTCCCTTCGGGTCTTCCCCACTTTGGGCTTCTTGCCCATCTTGGAATCAGCAGCTGGGGGTCCCTCCGGCGCAGAGAAGCAGCCACTACGCGCACATGTGCTCGGAACTTGATCTGATCCTTCCTGTAGCCCGTAGCACTTCCTCTTCCGGTTTGTATCATTACGTTCGCCGGCATCATCACAGCCATCTTGAGTGTGGCAGAGTGTGGTCGAGGGGACCACCCCACCCCCCTCGCTCGCCAAATGCAAACGGACAAGAAGCTATGCAGAGCTCCCGTTTTACCTCCTAGGGGACCATAGGGAATCCGAAAGACAACTACTGTACGTCAAACTGTCATTCGATTTCCCCTTTTTTCCATCTAAGGTACTAAGGACCCTACCAACATGGCAGCAAAAGTATGTCAAAAATGAATTGAGGCGGAAGGGGGTATGTACGCATGTGCAGCGCCTAAACGCCACAATAAAACTAAGAGATATGAATACAAGAAGTGTCAACAAACGTTGCTTCCGGTTCTCGATTCGTAGAACTCGTCATATGGAGGGGGGGCAATTCTTGCTCCGCCACATACAGAACCCGGCAATCTAGAACCGGAAGTAGACCAATTAAACCTACTGTGGACCGGATCTCTTTGGAGCGGAAAGGAGGGGGAGGAAATGGCTTCCTTTTCCCAAGGGCGCTTGAGCGTCGGCCATGTTGATTGAGGGCAAGCAACCGGAAGGAGGAAGGCGACCTTCCCTTCCCGCAGCTTCCGCCATGGAATGAGCGCATGCGCCTTTCAGTGAATGTGGATACCGGCGAGGGGGAAAATGGCGGTTGAAGGGCCGGAGCAGGTAAGCGGGTTCCCGCGAGTGCTGAGTCACTCCGGCCCCCGCTCTCTCTCACTGTTCTCACGGGGGTGTCTTGTTTGTAAAAGTGGGCGAGAGATAAGAGAGGTCCGTTTGCCACTTGCCTGGCCAAATGGGGAAGGGATGGCGGAGAGGCTTTCGTTAAAAATGGGGGGGGGGTATAAACGGGGAATGAGAAGGAAGTTCGTTTGTGTATGGATGCAGATTAACTGCGAAAGTGACGGAGATGTTGGCGGGGCAACAGGGGAAGGAGGTGGCCTGACGTTAAAGGGCCCCTGATCCGACAGAGGCGCTTGGTGGTATGAAGGCAATCTGAGTGGGTGTAGTTGCTGCTCTTATTATTATTAATTGAATTTATATACCGCCCTATACCCGGGGGTCTCAGGGCGGTTCACAGTTAGAAAGCGGGGAAGGTGTGTCCTCCTTTGCCTGCCTTAAAATGATAATATGGGAGGGTCCACGTAATGTGGAGAGGTGGCTTGTAATGTCATGTGAAAGGTTACCAGTACTAGTGATTGTGATATTTATTAAACGTACAAACTGTGGGAGGCGGTGGAAGAAAGGAGTGCCTGGCGTGCTCTGGTCCATGGGGTCACGAAGAGTCGGACACGACTAAACAACCACCACCACCCTCTTTGCGTGAAGATCGCAGGGTGGTTTCATGCAAGATGAAGACACAAAATGTGTAGCACAATAAAACATCAAAAGGACTGCCGCCCATAGCTCCCCCTCCCACAAACACATTTTTTAAAGGCCATAGAGTGTTCAACCAGACCTAAAGGCCTTTGGTGTAGACTAGAGGGATGATTTTTTGCCTGACACCTAAAGATATGTAACAATGGCACCAGGCAAGACTGTCTGGGTGGGCGTTCTCGCTTGCTGTCACTTCTAGGTGTTGGAGAGGGTGTTACTGCCTATTTTAAACAGTTAAAGGTTGCCTGTTTCTAAATAGTAGGTGTGCTAGCTTATGGGCTGGGGAGAGGAGTGAAACAGCAAATTGTAAGGTAGGGGTGACAATTCATGGTTTGGGGAGTGGGCTGTAATTTAACTTGGGGGGGGCGGGTGGTGAGATGTGCCTCTTCTCCTTGAGCTTATCTGTCTTTCTTCTTCTCTTTGCTGTCCCAAATCTTTCGGGCAGATGGAGTTGGATGAAGGCAAAGGTGGGACTGGGCTGCGCCAGTATTACCTCTCCAAGATTGAAGAGCTACAGGTGAGATATTCTTGTTTCCTGGAGTGGGAGGATCAATATAAGTTCTCACTTTCTAAATCCTTTCTCAAATGCAGACAACACAACTTTCATACACACAGGTAGTTAAAGTTGTTTTAACATGTGGGGCATACTATGGCTAGTGGATCTTTAGATGATCTTCAGTCTCTTTATTGGCTCACTTTTTTATTTCTATAGTGCCTTTGTTAAGGGCAAGATATAGGCCCTCCTCTCAGGTTTATAATTAATGGATGAAGATAGGCATTCATTCTATAATGTGGTTTTGACAAAAAGTTTGCCGGGCTATGCCGTGTGTGTGTGTTTGTTCAAATACCTTTCAACACACAGAGAGTATGCCTGTTTCTTCACTGTAAAAGGCAAGACATGACACATAAAGGAAGGTGTTTGGAAGGAAAAGAGATCTCTTCGACAGTACTGTGGGTGGGGGGAGAGTTGTGTATTTGCTACCTTTTTCTTACACCTTTCCTTCAGTGAGCTTAAGGCAGTTTACATGGTGGTTCTTCCCCACCCCCACCCCCACTCCTGCCTTGTGAGGTAGGTGGGCTGAGACAGTAACTGACCAAAGCTTACTTGGAGAGCTACACAGCAAAGTGAGGGGTTGAACCTGAGTCTCCTTGACCTTAATCCAACACTCTGACCACCACATGCCTCTAGTGTTTACATCCTGTTTGGAGCTAGCTGCTTTTCCACCCCTTAGGAAAAGATAATGCAATTACCAATCAACCCTTGTTTGCCAGCTAGTAGCCAGAGTGCTCCAACTCGTATCTCGGTGAGAATAATTATCTGGTGGCTGGCGTAGGGGGAGCAAACCCCCTTAGTTGACGGGGTACTATGCTATTTTGGCGTGAAGTGTCATCTTTCTCCATTTCTTCTTCAAGTTGATAGTCAACGATAAGAGCCAGAATCTCAGACGGCTGCAGGCACAGCGGAATGAACTCAATGCCAAGGGTAAGTTGCGGGTTGTTCAGCTCTCTGCAGTGTTGCTTTTGTGTTTTGGGAGAGGTTTGATGGCTTTTGTTTTTAACTTCTGTTTCTACCCTGCACCCACATTTTCCCCACTGGCAAAAACCCGTATATGTTTGCTACCTTAGTTTGAAGCAACTTTGCTTTACTGATTATATTTTTATAAAGTGTAATGCTTTTATGTTAAGAATCTGTGGCCACTTTATGTAATCTCATAAGTAAAATAGCAAACACTGGGTATATTTATAACTTGAGATGTAAATACTTTTAAATGTAATCTAAATACAAAGCAGCAAAGTTTTGTGTTCTAAGTTGTACATAAAGCATTTTGTTTCCTCAAGGTGGTAAACTAAGCTTTGTTACTGTTCTGAAATAGATATGCTACTTATTTTCTTATTTCTTTTTATGAAATCCCCCCCCCCCGAGAAATGTTTCCTCCCTTGCTTCTGGAAATGTTGCCTCTCTAGGGAGGGGCAGTTCCTGAGTTGTCCAAGATGATGCTGAATTGGGAGACTTCCTCTCCACTGATTCTAATGCTGTTTTGTTTTCTCTGACCACCCTAGTGCGCCTGCTTCGCGAGGAGTTGCAACTTCTGCAGGAACAAGGTTCCTACGTGGGTGAAGTGGTGAGGGCTATGGACAAAAAGAAAGTGCTTGTCAAGGTATGGTCATCCCCTGCATGTGTGTATCAGATATATACATCTCTCTGTGTAAGGAGGGTTGTCCTTCAAACAGGCTATGATTGTGAGTTGGGAATAATAACTGTTGGCATTTAAACAGCACTTTTCAATATTCAAAGCACAGTGTTAAAACTAGGACTGGGAAGAACATGGGTTCAAATACCAACCTGGCTGGGAAGTTCATCTTGGGCTAGTTGCCATCTTTCACCCGAGCCTCCGCCCCACAAATTTGTGAGCAGAAAATGGGGGTTGAGAAGAGATGAATGTATGCTGCTCTGAGCTCCTTAGAGGAAGAGCAGCATGAAAAGGACAGCTCTGTAAGGTTGAAATTCGAAGACAGTGGCATGTCTGAGGCCCCCAATTACTTCATGGTAGAGGTGAGAATTTTAACCAGGGTTCACAACTCAATTCTCTTGTTACTTTGCTGTTTCTGGACAGAAGTAGCAAAAATGATTGGATATCTAGGTGCTTAATGAATCCTGTGTGGCTTCCAAAACTCATCTGTTTTTACAATATTAATCTTCCTCAATAATATCTTCAAGTTGTTTTGCACTGTAAGCTAGAAGTGCTTTGTCATACGGGTGGAATTGGGTATATTTTTCCTGTTAGCCATGTTGACTGTTGATTTCTTTGGCTTGACTTGTTTTGCCATTGATGCTGCAAGTGTTTGATTCTTACGGTAATAACTGGCCCTCTATTCCAGGTTCATCCTGAAGGCAAGTTTGTTGTTGACGTGGATAAAAACATAGACATCAATGATGTGAGTATGTGCTGGGCCATGTCTGGTATCCCACAGACATGGGAATACCAGAATGGGAATAGTGGTATTTATGTCTCTGTTGGATTTGCATGTTTGCTGTTTTCTTTCCTGTGTCTGGGTTTGCTCTATCTTTTAAATGCCCCTGGGGAAACCCAGGGTGGAACATGCGTCTCATGTACCTCTATACCACACAGGTAACCCCGAACTGCCGTGTTGCCTTGCGGAATGACAGCTACACACTCCACAAGATCTTGCCAAACAAGGTGGACCCCCTGGTCTCATTGATGATGGTGGAGAAAGTGCCAGACTCCACTTATGAGATGATTGGCGGCCTTGACAAGCAGATCAAAGAGATCAAGGAAGTGATTGAGCTGCCCGTCAAGCATCCAGAGCTTTTTGAAGCTTTGGGCATTGCTCAACCCAAGGCAAGTGAAAAGAGATGTGGTGTCCCCACCATATCATGCCTCGCTTTCTCACTAGACCAGACTTTAGATAAATGGATAGATGATTACTCACACTTGACATTAACTACAAATAAGTATTGAAATACTCATCCCACATGAAGAGAAGCAGTCCGGTTTGCCATCGCCCCCGTTTCCTGGGCCTTCCTTAGGGAGGGGTGCATAGGCTATAGCACATGCCTTGATTCAGAAGGCCAAGGT